GATTTACTAAACTACTCTACTAACTACTCTACTAATTACAAGTTGGGAACTCACTTAGGTATGATTCCCGCTAGCTCCTCAATTAGGTCCAAGTTGCAATTACCTTTGGTTGATCTACTGTTGATTAAACTGCGGAAGATCCTAAATTAGCTTGGAATCTCTTAAGCTGACCAAGCCCTCTTAGACAGAATATCCGGCAGGCGACTAGCCTTCACCGGGATAGACTGCTAAGGCGATTCACACAGATCTCCACTACTGGAATGAATTCCAGTACAAAGCAGTGAATTGATTGACTCTCGCACAACCAATTCACCACTATCAATCAAGGAAGCTCTCTTAACCTAATTAGATTCTATCTATCATAGGTTAAAGCAGAAATCAAGAGAATTTGATCAAGATTCAATTGACTCAATAAGTCTCTTAACCTAATTAGATTCTATCTATCATAGGTTAAAGCAGAAATCAAGAGAATTTGATCAAGATTCAATTGACTCAATAAGTCATGCCTCAATCGATTATAATCAAACAATATAACATCCAAAACTTCATACAATAAAGATCCTAACACATGGAACTAGGGTTCCTCAAAACCTAAGTGAAGGGAAGTTACTCCATAGAGAAGAGAGAGACTGCAGAAATCTGATCTAGATCTTCAATCTCCATCTCCAAGCTTGATTCCCGAGCTCCAATGGCGAAGAAATCCTCCTAAATAGCTCCAAGAATGTTCCCAAGTCGCTCTCTCTCTATAGGGTTCGTCCCTTGGGTGTTTGGGAACCAAAACCCAGCTCTCCCTCTCCTTTGGCTCGAAATTTGGCTTAAAACCATAAATTCCCGACTCACATGGTTAGGCCACACGGCCGTGTGACTTTTCCAGCTGCCCGTGTGAGTGTCCAAACGCGGCGTTTCGATTAGTGGGCAACCAGGCAAGCTGCACGGGCAGAGGCCACACGGCCGTGTGGCTCCCAGGTTGCCCGTGTGGCTTTTACCGAGCCTTCACACGGTCACAAGGGGCCCCTACACGGCCGTGTGGCTTTTAGGCATGCCCGTGTGGCTTCTCAGCTTCTCGCCAAACGTTCAAACTTCGTCCAATCGACCCCGAACTCGTTCCCAAACCTTCATTCACGTACTAGGACCTGAAATATCACAAACAAGCACAACCTAGCGTGAAATCGGCCTAAAACGCGAGAATCAACATCTCAAACGGCTCAAGAATAGGGGTAAAAACATGTGTAATTATTGGTCTATCATTTATCCTTAACCAAAATAATTAGATTGGCTCGAAAATATTGAGAATTTATTGGTAAGGGTATTTAGTGGGATAAATGAAAAAAAACAAGAGATATAATAGGAGGGAGAAAATCTCCAAAATCAAGATGTAGAATCTCTCTAATTATGAGAGATTTGATATCTCTAGATTTTAGAGATTTAAAATCTCTAAAGTTACAATCCACGATACAAAAAGTAGCAAAAAAACATCACATTTTGCTAAATCTATGGATTCAATAAATCCACGATCCAAATCTTGTTCTCCAAACGACCCCTAAAGTCGAAAAAAGAAGCTTCTTTTGAATCTATGGATTCTACTAATCCATATCATCCAAAGCCTATTCTGCAAACAACTCCAACAGTGATATTCAGCGGCGGATCCAAAACAGGTTAGAGCACTGGGCCGCATTTAAAAAGCGGTGGAGATGGTTGGGTCGTCACCCTATAAATATTAAAATATAATACCCAAAATCGGAAATTTACAAGTACTATACGAGCTTTGGATTCTGGGAGGGCTGGGCCATGGCTCGGGGCGGCCCCCCTGGATCCGCCGCTGGTGATATTAGCATATTGAAACTCCCTGATTGAATATTCTTCTCTCTATTTTTCTGAGCGATTGTTTGCTTATTAATTTTCGGTCATGAATTTGAGGCTCAAATCTAACTCTTCAACAATGCAGTCAAAATCGCGCTTTAAAACTTAAAAGCTTACGCTTTTACCATTTTGGGTCACCAAAACGCTTCTACGTAGAATCGTGATATTCCCTTACAAATGTAGTCAAAATCTACGTTTTAAAACTTAAAATCTTACAATTTTACGCTTCTAGGTCACCCAACCGCTTCTAGGTAGAATCACGCTTTTGACTGCATTGCTCTTCAAGAATTTACTCAAAATTAATTGTTTGTTTGTCCAAAATCTGTGGTGCTGAATCCGTGGACTCATCGGTTTAGATTTTTACTTATTCCAAATTCGTGGATCTGACTAATTTGAAAATCCAACATAAATAGGCTGGATTTGAAAAGGTGACCAAGTCTTTAATGTTTAATTAATGACTACTTTATCCACAATTTTGTTCTCCATTTCAACTATTTGGATAATAAAATTATTCCTTTTTAAAATCATAAATCTAACTGAAAAAAGTTTATTATCAAATCCGACAAACAAAAAACATTATCCCTAACTCAAATGCATCACCAATATTTTTCATTTTTCAATTCTAAGAATTTAGAGACAAAAATCTTTATTTTGCAAAATCCCACCATCAATGATCAAACCACCCTAGACGAATTCATCATTATAGACAACAATAGACAGTGGAATCTAAATGGACTCGAAATCGTTATTCATATCATAAAGGGTAAATACAATTTAATATCCAAACCTTTCGTTTAAACAATATAATAGCCAAACCTTTTCGAAAACAATCTAATATCCAAATCGTCAACTTTCTGTTCGTTTGACCGTTGGTTGACACTTCAAAAAAGCTTTGTTTATGGGAAATTGTCACCATACAACTTTGTTTTCTTGTTTTGGCATTACAGATGACTGAATATTTAGATATTCTATACCATCATGGTGGAGTCATGGACTTCTCGGGTTTGGAACCACAATATGTTGGTGGTTTTTCAGAGAAGATATCGATAGATACTGATGAAGGGTCGTACTTCGAACTTTTTTGAAGTGTCAACTAACAGTCAAACGAACAGAAAGTTGACGATTTGGATATTAGATTGTTTTTGAAAATATTTGACTATTATATTGTTTAAAATGAAAGGTTTCGATATTAAATTGTATTTACCCTATCATAAATCATAATATGCGGTCTAGTTCCGTAGGCACCCAACCAAACATACTACGGTGCTGCTATTAAGATTCCTCTCTACGGCAGTACGGCCTACAGCCTGGCTACTATTGGGTTTTTGGCCCATATTTTTCAACAGATGCGCCGTAAGCCCGTAAGCCGATTTTCCTGCTTATGAGGTGGGCTTTCTTAGCCTAGAATGACTCGGCCCTTGAGCTGAGCCACAACCAACGATGAAGCGACACCTGTATAGTGTATCCACCAAATATGTGCGGTTGTGCCGGTACTTAGACCCATAGAATATTCGTGTGTTCATGTCGACATAAAGTAGAATACTTGTGTGAATATTAAAGATGGCAGGCCCGGGTCCGCAAGCGGATACCCGCCCGAAGCCCGCCCGAATTTGGGCCTGGTGGTTGCTGGTTTGAAGCCCGTCAACGGGCCGCGGTGAAACCGGTATCCATCAACGATGGGTCTCGGGTGGTGACGGATCGAGAACTATCCGCCCCATAACCCGCCCAACGGATTACCCGTCCCGCAAAACGTCGTAGTTTTGGTCGAGGTATATATTCCCTCCTAAAGACTGAGTTAACCCTAGTTCATCCAGCCGCCTCGTTCATTCGACCCATTCACTCGAAAACGAAAGAAACCCTAATTCCTTCTTCCTCTCTACCTCTCTGGCGATCAGATCTCAAAAAGATCGCAATTGAACAGATTTTTCGCCCTTTCCCCTCTCCAAATCGCCAAATCCAAAGACTTTGTCCTATTCCCCTTGTCATATGTCTTCAATTCCTCCAATCAAATGGCAAGCGGAGCAACCATTCGACGACGATTTCGTCGACCACATCCCAGAAAAGAGTCGTCAGGAGTTGAATCATGCTCCCAAATTGCTGATTCTTCGTTGACAGATAAGGATTCTCTTTCTTTCTTTTATTTTCATTCGATTTTTGAGGTTAGACCCAAAATATGAACTTACTCTTCTACTGCTATACATAGGGGGAATTTCCTAGCGAGTGTTCTACCTTCGTTTCTCATCATTTGGCCATCTTCTTACATCCAGAACACCCAGTCCCCAGCGAGCAGAGAGTCAGAGACGAGACTCGAGACCAAGTTCTTGGCAGAGACAGAGAGGCAGAGACGAGACTCGAGACCAAGTTTGTCTAGTTAAGGTCTTGATTTCTTGTGTTCTTTTTCTGGGTTCGTGGTGTCAATATAGACATGCATAAACAGTACTAACTAGTTTTGTTTGTTGTTCATTCCCTTTTTTGGTTTTTGTAGACTCGGTTTAATTCGATCTTAGGGGATTGAAGATGGAAGGAATCGACTGACGACTGTGTGCTCGACATTCTTCAGAAGACTTATTAAGTTGTTCAGAAGGTAATCTCTCTGGGGTCTTGGTGTTGAGGTTTGAGGTTCAATGTAGTTTATTGAGGTTTGAGGTTCTTCAGAAGACTCATTAAGTGCGATTCTAATGTAGTTTATTGAGATTTGAGGTTCAACTAATGTGTTTTGCTTCCTGGTTTGCAGGTCCAGAAATGGTGTCAAGTTTCGAATATTGTTGAGTTTATGATTTCATGTTGCTGTCAGTTTCAGACTTTAGTCTTTCAGACTATCATTTATTGATAATACAGAGAGATGTTCAGGTTTTTTTTCATATAATTGGTATTGTTGCGGGTATTTCATACCCGCGGGCACCCGAAAACCCAGCGGTGACGGTGTTGGTTATATTACCAGATCCGGAAGTCCGTATGGGCCGGGGACGGGAAAACCCGAAGCCCATCGTGGGCGGGGAACGGATACAGGGTACCCGACCCTGATCCGCCCCGTTGCCAAGCCTAGTGAATATTGTACAATTTTTTTAATAACAATTCACAATCAGGGATAACAAATGAACTCAAATCTATAGATATCCAATCCGATTAAATTGGGTACGTAAAAGGTTTTATCCGTTTTTGAAATTAATGGGTTGGATTTTGATTTTCCAAAACTCAATCTGCTAAAGTAAAACGACATTATTTGTTGGAATTTATCGATGTTAGGAGAAATAATTTATACTTATGTTCGTAAGCTCATGAATACTTATGCACCGATGACATCAGTTAGATTGGGTTAAATTTGCTCTTCCAAAACTCAAAAGATATTTTAGCAAGTTATTTTAACACATACACCCGCTAAGCAGCTATATTTGAATTTAGCCAATGTCGACGGCTCCAACTGCAAAGCATAAAGCCGTCTTTCTTCGATGAAACAAGAGTCTGCAAATGGTTTAATCAAGAAGAGGAATTCCAATCAGTCCAAACAATACAGTTATTAAATGAATTATATAAATGCGAAGAGATCAAACTCTCGACCGCTCTTGATCATATTGTATTATATAAAAGCAGCTTATTACCTACCGTGCTCAAGAACACAGCCATGGCGATGATGATTCCCAGTATCACCAAGTTGGCCATCTTGCTTCCCTTCATATCATGGATGTACGCAGGCCTTCTGCCTTCAAGCGAATCGGCCAGAAATACGATTTCTCCACGACGACGGGGGGAAGAATGATGCTCCAACAATGGCTCGGGCCAATTCTAGCAACTTGTACGCCTATGTAATAATAACGGTATTATGATTGTGTGTGTATACGATGGGCAAGAACCGCCATCTGCACCGGCCTAGCAGTAACAGAGCAACGCCGACTGTCGCCGGCAGGCGACCTCGTACAACTTCCGGCAATGCTTCCATTCAGCAAGGAGAGTCCTGTGAGATGATATGATATCTGCAGCAGGGTACAGTACCCTCCGACTTATTCTAATGAGTGTGAGCCCGGATACTACCTGGCTTGCGATTGTGGAACATGCATATGCTATTCCTATCCTTTTTGATAGAGCCAATTTTCCTCCCCTGCTTTCCAGCTGAGATGAGTCCAATATAGTACGTAGTTTGCGAGCAAACTTGTGGTGTGGTAGCACTACAAGGAAAATGGCCTATGCCACGAAACCGCTGCTAAGATTTGCGGAATTAATTGTAGAAAGGGTTAGTTGTACGGGTCAGAAGTCCTTGCTAGCCTTAAACAGTTAAATCTAATTGCGTACTCTTTTAAATATATATTGGGGCTAGTTGGTCCAGTTATTGGTACCAGTTGCATATAGCTTCCGTTTATGAGATGGAAGATGCATGCAAATCTGGCAGCCAGTTGCATCTTGATCGTGAAGGCAGTCGTCCAATTAGCTTTCTTCAGACACATGCATTTCTGGCAGCCAGTTTGCCACTGCTTTCACGTGCTTCTTCTCAGCTGTCATTGCACTCTTCAAGGTTCAAACAAATCCCTTGACAAATATAAACTTCCCAAATGAGTTTGCTTTGTCGCTAGTTATATGTAAGTTAACTTCTGGGAGAGAAGATGGGAGCGTGTTCTGGGGCGACGCTTCGGAGATGCCAACTCTTTTGCCAATGGATGGATGAGGCTGAATTGATCGAACTGGGTTTCCAGGGACCGCAATTTACCTGGTTTAGAGGTGATACCCTAAGCACTAGGAAAGCCAGTCGGATTTACCGCTCTCTTTGCAATGCAGCTTGGAATTTAAACTTCCCCAATACAACAGTTCAACATCTCCCAAAGTTTCACTCTGACCACTTGCCTATTCTAACGTCTGTTCAAAGTCATCAGGACCCTAATCTTTCTACTACGAGGAGTTTCAAGTTCGAAGCGGTATGGGCCACAGATGATAGGTTTTCGAAATTTCTAGCTGATAATTGGAGCCAAGACCTGCCTCTCCAGCAAGCGCTTGAGGCGGTCACGCCAAAGCTGATGCAATGGAGTAAAGATGTTTTTGGCTCAATTCATAAAAGGAAAATGCGCCTTTTGGCCCGTCTACAGGGAATTACTACTCGGTTGGCCACCTCCTTCAATCCAGGGCTGCTCAAGTTGCAAATCAGATTAGAAAAGGATCTGGACGAGGTACTTGCCCAAGAAGAATTGATCTGGTTCCAGCGAGCCAAAGAGAATTGGGTTACTCTCGGGGAGCAAAATACTTCATACTTTCATCATCAAGCAACGAGACGTAGGAGAAGAAACAAAATCATGACCCTACGGGCGGCCAATGGGGATTGGATTGAAGATCAACAGGAGCCGCTTCATATGATTCTAAGCTTCTATACAACGCTTTATAAAGAAGATAACAACCAATATGAAGATCTCATGCCCCGTAATGCCTTTCCCAAGCTGCGGCAAGAGGGGATATCATGATGCTTCATCGACCTTTTCAGATTGCTGATTTCCACAAAGCTATTTTTTAGATGAAACCATCTTCGGCCTCTGGTCCAAATGGCTTTCAAGCCATTTTTTACCAAAAGCTATGGCCGATAGTTGGGAAAAGCCTCACTGAGATGGCCATTAAGTTCTTTGACACGCGCGGGAGAGATGGCAGAAGACACCCTGGACTCCACGATAGTGCTTATTCCCAAGACTGATTAGTCGGAGTCACCTACTCATTTCAGACCGATTTGTCTGAATAATGCGACTCTCAAAGCTGTGACTAAGGCGATCGCCAACAGATTAAAGTCGCTGATGCCTAAACTCATTGCTCCGAATAAGAGTGGCTTCATAAAGGGCAGATAGACCAACGACAAAATTATCCTGCTGCAAGAAACTCTCCACCATCTTCGCAACAAGAAAGGTCACAAGGGAGGCTTGGTGATCAAGATTGACTTAGAAAAAGCTTATGATCGGCTGAAGTGGGACTTCATCAGAGACACTTTGGGAGAGATTGGGCTTGCTAGCTCCCTTATCAGCAGAATCATGTCTTGCGTGGAACGGAACAAAATGTGAATTAACTGGAATAGACATCTTTCAGAACCGATCATCCCAACGAGGGGTGTCCAACAGGGAGATCCTCTTTCCCCTTTTCTCTTCATTTTGTGTTTGGAAAGATTAGCACATAGAATTGATCAGGCAATAGAGAATAAATTGTGGAAACCTTTATCTTTGTCTACAGATGGACCGAAACTCTGACACCTTTTCTTTGCGGATGACCTAATCTTGTTTGCAGAAGCTGAAGGCCGACAAATGGATGTCATTAGAAAATGCTTGGATGAATTTTGTGCCAGCTCCGGACACCGTGTCAATCTCAGCAAATCGGCCATGTTTGTCTCTCCCAATGTTCATAGAGATAAAGCTCAACTCCTAAGCACTCGAGTAGGGATCCCCCTCACCTCAGATCTTGGGAGATACCTGGGATTGATGGCCATCAACGGCCGGATCACTAAAAATCGATACAAGGAGTTGTTACTTAAAATTCAGAGGAAACTGGCAGCTTGGAAGACTAGACAACTTTCCATGGCAGCTCGGGTCACTCTTGTTAAGGCTGTGACCTCCAATGTTGCCCTTTACCCTATGTTTTCCGAACTTATCCCTGCTGGTGTGTGTAGCTCTATTGACAGGTGCAATAGAAGGTTCATTTGGGGGGAAGATGATAACAAAACTAAACTTCACACAGTGGCCTGGAATCAAGTGGTGCTCCCTCGTAATCAGGGTGGACTTGGGGTTCGGCCTACTAGGTTGACCAACCAAGCTATGTTGGCAAAAGGAGCATGGAGACTAGTTACAGAGGATACATCTTTATGGACTAGAGTGCTTAGAAGCAGATATGGACGTAACAAGGAAGGATTGCAGATTCTCAATGGAAGAAAGGGAAGTTCTTACGCTTGGCAAAGCTTTAATCATTCTGCCCATATCATTCGTAAAGGGGCGGCCTATAATGTTAAGAATGGTAAACGGACTAATTTTTGGACGGATCCTTGGATTTTACAGGTACCTCTTATTGAGATGGCAATTTCGGATGTCCCCATGGAGATCCAAAGCAAGAAAGCAGCTGATTACTGGGATTGCGATACAGGATGGAAGACTGCATAGCTAATAAATTTTCTACCTCCCGAAGTCTTGGACAAGTTGCGGTCCTTCTTGCTAGATCCGCTGTCGTCAGAGGAAGACTGTCTTTTTTGGGAGCCGACAACAACTGGTCTTTTTAGCACAGCGTCCGCCTACAAGCTAGCAGCTCCGTCATCACTTGGCACAAGCTCGATTCCCTGGCGCAAGCTTTGGTAGCTCCATGTGCCTGAAAGAGTGCGACTTTTCATGTGGACAGTCTCAAAAGGGAGATTAACTACCAATAATGTCAGAAAGTACATGCATCTCACCACTGATGATAAGTGCTCCTTATGCGAGGCTGAAATTGAAACCAATATTCACTGCCTGCGAGACTGCAATAGAATTAGACAGGTCTGGGAGAAAGTGGTCCCCCAGCAGCGCCAACACCAATTTTTTACTGCAGATCTAGAATATTGGCTGGCTCAAAACTTGGAAAGAGAAGATGAGATAGAAGAATCAGATGAGTGGAGTAGCCTCTTCTCCCTCACCTGCTGGTACATTTGGAAACAACGAAACGATTTTATCTTCAAGGAAGTTCGAATGTCGCAATCCACCTTGACCAACTACATTTTTTCAAAAGCTAAGGATTGGGTTCAGACTTGGCGCTCTGCGTCTGATAGGCTACTCTCTTCGACGAAACCTGCAAGGGAAGAGAGACTCATAGGCTGGCACCCACCTCCTGTTGGGTGGCATAAGCTCAATACAGACGGGGCATCGCAAGGTACTCTGGGACTTATGACGGCAGGAGGCTATATTAGAGACAAAGATGGAGATTGGCTTGGAGGCTTTGGCCGCAACATAGGCACCGGATCAACTATACTTGCAGAACTTTGGGGCATACACAAAGGTTTGGAATTAGCTTGGAAGAAGGAAGTCTGTTGCCTGATTGTCGAGACAGATTCCCAGTTAGCTATACAACTGATTGAAAACAGAACAGACCCGGTTCACCCCCATGCACCCTATTGACCATGATTCGCAGACAGATAAAGCAGAGTTGGGTAGTTCGTTTGATTCATACGTACCGTGAAGGGAATAGAGTCGCGGACTGGCTCTCGAAGCACAGTCTCATCTATCCCTTTGGTACGTATGAATTAAATGAGCTCCCAACGGACCTTGAGAGACTTCTTCGTGAAGATACCATTGGGATATGCTTTCCAAGACAAGTCATTGGAGATCTGAATGGCTAGCTTCTTTGACTCCCTGCATGCTTGTTGTTCTTAGGTTTCTTGTGACAGGTTCAGCACTGGGCTCGCCTCTCTGCCTGTAGATTGGCGCCCTCTCTGTTCCGCTTGTTTTGTCTTTTGGCCTTTCAGCCTCCTTCCAATAAAAAAAAAAAGTTAACTTCTGGTGCAATACTTTTCATTTTGTTACATTGCAGGACATACCTGACCTGGATGGACACAGGGACTTCATAATCCAATCTTTCACTGTCAAGCTGGGACAAGAAAAAGTAAGGTTTCGACAGAGAATCAATACAAGTAGCAGTGTTTGATTATGTCAAAAAATTATCCTGGGAATGGTTTTATACTGTCTGGCTACTGACTTTCAGAAACACCATGACGGCGTGTGCAGTTTGGGTACCGTCCTGCTTCAAACCCATCGAGGTGGCGCTTCTCAGCCGCTTGAATCGTTCTTCCTACCTTCGTCTTCTTCTCCTTCTTTCCTCGGTAAATCCCCTCCCCTGTCTATGGTCACGGGTCTTTTTTTTTATAATGGTGACATTCATTAGATAAGCATCAAGAAAAATGACAGATACAGAAAAGACCAGAAGGAAAGGGGAAAAAGAAAAGGCAAAGCAGCAGCATCCCTGGAAAGCAGCAAGAAACAAAATTAAAACAAAAAACCAACAAAAAACCAAAGCAATGCAACTCTCTCCTGAAACGCGACGACACTTAGTCCCTGACCCCACTGTTCTTCTCTTCAAAACTCTAAGCCACTGCTCGACCACTGCCACATAGGCTGCCAATCCTGAAAGCGACGACGAATTTTGAATTGGCCAATCCATTAAAAGTCTTACGATTCCTTTCCTTCCATAAACTCCAACACAAGGCATGGACAAGAACCAGGGTGCACCGTTCTCTTGGGTTTTCAGGCTTCCTTGTCGGCCAGTTGTTGATCACCTGTGTTATGTCTCCAGGACTTCGGGTTGAGAAGACAAAAGCACTCAGGATAGTCCATACTCTAGATGCGAAGCTACAGTGTAGGAACAGATTGGCTTGCGTCCTCTTCACTAGCCGCGCACATGACGCACATGCTGGGTGATATGGCAAAAGCGTATATGCCTTAATCCTATCTTGTAGTAAACCGGAAAGTCCGGGTATCGTCTCTCAGGGACTGGTACAACCTTAAGTTTTATAAATTTATGGAGCAAACTATAAGTGAAAATGGTTTGAGAGATAAACTAATTTCTAAAAGCAGAATTAAATAAACAAATTAAGTAATGAAAACTGTGGGGAGAAATTCGATGGGAGAAAGCTCTGGGAGAATCACCGGGATTCGCTACCTATCATATCAAAATTAATTCACATATTCTAATCAGTTTAATCCAATTATCTACAACCAGGATATCTCTACTATGTTAGCTATCCCTGTCGGAAATTATACGTACTAAATAATCAATTCAAATCCTACTATCGTAGCTCAATGAATTAATTATTTAGCCTGAAGACCGATATCCCAATCAAGACCGCATAGTACCTTATTTAATCCACTGTCGCTTCGATAAGTTACTATGTCACATGAAATATGTTCAGTTAATAGGGTTTCACTGTCGCTAATAACCTAATTAACTACAAATCAATGTATTGGTGGCCAGTCAACACAAAGCATTAAGTAATTTCATGCAATAGAGATTGGAAGAAAAGAAATACGAATCAATCCATCAATTCTAGAAATAGCTACATCCTATGGTGTTTCCCCCAGAAATTGGGGTTTAGTTCATGACGAAACTGAGATAAAACAATAGGGTTTTGTTCATCATGTTCTAAATCAACAATAAACAACTAGTGAGGTCTAGAAAATCCAACCAAAATAATCGATTTCGTTGAAATCAGCTTAAACCACCTTGGGAGAAGTGACTCGTCAATTGCCAAATCGCCGCTGCTCCTCTTTGCCAATCGTCGCTGCGCCTCTCTTTCTCTCCAAAGAATTTCGCCTCTCCCTTTCCCTGTCAAATAATTGTTTCCGCCGCCAAAGAGATATCCCTCCTGCTCTCCTGCTTTATTTCGCCCCCAAAAGAAAAGTCCTCCCCCAGAATAATTCCTTCCTCCTTTTGTCTCGATCCGCCCTTTTACTTCCCAAAAAGAAACCCTCCAAGAATTCCTTCCCAGAGAATTATCCCGTCCAAAATTAGTCCCGTCCAAACAATAGTTCCCCCAATTAATTGCCCCAGCAATTCCGTCCCTTCCAATTCCTCCATCCGCCCAGGCCCACAAAGAATCCCCAGCCCGCAAAAGTGCAGTTCCGGTTCAACTCCTCAGTAAGGTCCGGTCCAATTAAAAAATAAATGTACGTCGAGTCCACTTGAATTATTCTATACACCAATGCAAATTTCTCGTTTCATTTACCTGAAATATATAAAATATTTGGTACTTGATGGTAATGGTTTTGCAACCATTCCATAGTCAATTAGGCTTCGAACAAGCATTATATGTCTCAAACATATCATGAAATAATCACATTAAGCACGCAAAATCAATATGTTTTCGACAATTATCACAACCCCACACTCAACACTTTCTTGTCCCTAAGCAACAATTCAGACAAGAGAACAATAATTGGAGCAAACACAACACAAACCACATAGACACAACCTTACTCAAGGCAGAAGACCCACGACACACGCAACACAACATCAACACAAGAAATTTACCCTTGTACTCTTGTAATAATCAGTAGTTTCTTTCTCACT